TCTGCATGATTTGCAACGCCAAGTTGAGCAACTCTAGTCTTGCACCGGCAAAACTAAAGGAACACTTCTTGAAGCTGCATGGAGACGGGGAATACAAGAACACAACACTTGCTGAATTCAGGGTGAAGAGAGCCAGACTCGATGAAAGGGCCACTCTGCCTGCTCTTGGATTTATACCTGTTAACAAACCGATCCTGACAGCATCGTACGAAGTTGCTTACCTGATCGCAAAACAGGGCAAGCCACACACCATTGGTGAAACACTTGTGAAACCAGCTGCATTAAAGATGGCGAATCTGATACTCGGAACAGCGGCCGAAGGTAAATTATCCCAAATTCCCCTTTCAAATGACACCGTCAGTGACAGAATAGAAGACATGAGTAAAGACATCTTGGCTCAAGTAGTCGCGGATCTGATTTCAAGCCCGGCAAAATTCAGCCTTCAACTCGACGAAACCACAGACGTTTCTGATCTAAGCCAGCTTGCTGTTTTTGTACGCTATGTGAAAGACGACATGATAAAAGAAGAGTTTTTATTTTGTAAGCCTCTTACAACAACAACGAAGGCAGTCGATGTGAAGAAGCTTGTGGATGACTTCTTCAGAGACAACAATCTTTCATGGGATATGGTTTCTGCAGTTTGTATGGACGGAGCTCCAGTCATGCTGGGAAGAAAGTCTGGTTTTGGTGCGCTAGTAAAGGCCGATGCACCACACATCATTGTGACGCATTGTATTCTGCACAGGCATGCGTTGGCAACAAAAACCTTACCTCCAAAAATGACAGAAGTATTAAAAACTGTGGTGGAATGTGTGAACTATGTGCGAAAAAGTGCTCTGAGGCACCGCATCTTCAGTGAGCTGTGTAAAGAAATGGGCTCTGAATTTGAGGTACTTCTGCTCCATTCTAATATTCGGTGGTTATCCCGGGGACAGGTGCTGAATCGTGTTTTTGCCATGCGTGTGGAATTAGCCCTGTTTTTGCAAGAGCACCAACACTGCCATGCAGATTGCTTCAAAAATCCTGAGTTCATTCTCATTTTAGCGTACATGGCTGATATATTCGCAGCTCTCAATCATCTCCATCAGCAGATGCAGGGTGGTGGAGTCAATATCATGGAAGCGGAAGAACACCTGAAGGCTTTTCAAAAAAAGCTACCGTTATGGAAACGACGAACAGAGAACAATAATTTCGCAAACTTCCCGTTTCTGGACGACTGTGCAAGTAAGATCGAAGATGTGTCTGGAATCGGAGATATTTCTGTATCCACGGAACTGAAGCAAACAATTGCCACGCACTTAGATGAGCTTGCAAAGTCTCTCGACGGATATTTCCCTACAAGAGAGTCATATCCAGCATGGGTGAGACAGCCGTTCACGTTTGCTGTTGAAACAGCAGATGTCAATGATGAATTCCTCGACGAAATCATTGAAATTCAGCAGAGCCAGGTTCAACAGCAACTCTTCAGAACAACAACGCTCTCAACGTTTTGGTGTCGACAAATGAACAAGTATCCAGTTATTGCTAAGAAAGCCCTGGATTTTTTTATACCATTTGTTACAACATATCTTTGTGAGCAATCCTTTTCGAGGATGCTGGACATAAAAACGAAGAAAAGGAACAGACTTTGCTGTGAAAATGACATGAGAGTGGCACTTGCCAAGGTGAAGCCACGCATATCTGAACTGATCTCTCAAAGGCAACAGCAGAAGTCACATTGATTTCCAGGTATGTAATTTGTTGTGAGTTTATGCATTGTGTTGGTTTTATTCTTTGAACAAGGTAATGTTCATGCACGGCTCATTTTGTGTACCAGTAAAAAACATATCTATGTCTTGAATTTGAAAAAAATCACATTTTATTTTTCACTAAAGAGGGGTTCGGTGAATGCGCATATGAAACTGGTGGGGTTCGGTACCTCCAACAAGGTTAAGAACCACTGCTATAGTACTATAGTGTTGTGACCACGTGAATACTGTTTACTACAGTACTATAGTGTTGTGACCACGTGTATACTGTTTACTACAGTACTATAGTGTTGTGACCACGTGTATACTGTTTACTTCAGTATAATGTTGTGACCACGTGTGTGTGCGTAAAGCATTTTTTTAATTTGGTGTCCAAGTGTAGTGACTGTTCTTTAGTAACTGTACTGCAAGTGAAAGTCGTCCTACACAATAACCCTCCTCCCCCTCTCCTCTCTCTCACACCAGCCACGATAAAAATGTAATGAATAAATTTGATTACTTTATATTAAATTTAAATAATAAAAATATAAAAGGTATTTTGTATTAATAATTTTTATATGAATACAGTATTTTGGGTTGTGGAACTAATCATCTGAGTTTCCATTATTTTTTATGGGGAAATTCGCTTTGATATACGAGTGCTTTGGATGACGAGCACGTTTCCGGAACGAATTATGCTCGCAATCCAAGGTTTCACCGTACACTTAAAAAAATTCCAGCTCGGTATTATGTACTGGACAGCATTAAACACACGTTAAATAACGGAGTTCAGTAGCGCCATGAGGATAAAAATGTGCATTTATAAGGTGGTTAAAATGCTACGATATTTCAAATTTTCATATTTAACACCAAACCATGAAAAAATAAAACATCGGGATAAAAAGGGGGAAATCTGTTTAAGCAATATCCATAACAATGTGCAGCATTTTCATTGATATTAAAATTCCTCCAGTACTTCATTTTGTTTTTTTGCTATCAGTACAAAATAATAACTAAATGGAAATCTCTCATTTATGTCCGTCAAATATAGAATTGCATTATTATAAGTGATTGGGTATTCCTTAAATGGATCATGATGATTGTTTTCATCCGAGTTTGATTCCCCACTTGATGTACAATTAATTTTAGTGGGCGTGACAATAATCTTTTAACACGAGAGACTTAACGTGATCTTTCTCTGTCGAGGTGGGTGGTGGTGGATTAAGTCGAACACACGGACTCACAATCAGCTACATGGTCTCGTCTGGTCACGTTCAATAAGGTTTGAGTTGGCTGTCATTTCCAAGTGGAAGCCAAAATGATCTCTTTACGGAGTGTCCAGGCAGTGCAACTGCAAAGGGGGTCTATGGGTTTGCGGGACCCAGGTGCCTGACTACAAAGGGGACAATGAACAAGGCCCCCATTTCATTCGTTGCATAATGACCCTTTTAAAATAACGGTAGAGCAGTGGTTTCACAGGCTGGCTGAATTCCCAACATCAGAATTTTGGCCAAGTGGAACTAGATCATTAAATACGTGAATATAAAAGGTTGTAGATGGCTGGGAACATGCGATTATACTAATTATCAATAACAATATTTATGTCGTGAACCTTTTACTCGTAAATTTGTCTGGAAAAGACTTGCCTAACTCACGTCATAAATTGAGTAACTCAGAAAATTATAGAAACTCGACTGGAGTTATCCATGTACTCGAGTTCTGGGAGAAAAAAGGTCAACTCGAGTCAACTGAAGTTGAATGTTCCCCAATAACTTGATATTAGTGGAGCAAGTGCTGCAAGTTAAATCAATAGGATTAAATCGAACGCTTCAGATAGGACACTGACTTTTGGAAGCAGGATCCATAAGCAAGTGATTCATTTAAACAGATATAGCTATAACTTTATTTTTCCCAGATGAGACCCCAATGAGAATAAAGATCAGATCACTAATTTATTACCATCAATAACATGTTAAAACCAAAAATTTACGTTATAGTACCGTACTTTCTCACAATGAATTAAGGTTTTATTTTGTTCGTTGTATATATCCCAAACAGCATCCACCTGCGTCATGACGTGATATTCACTATCCGTCGGTGCAGGAAAATTAACAAGGATATGTCATAATAGGGTTTTCCCCTTTTTTCTGGCAACACAACTAAAACCTTTTTACGAGGATTCATGTCTGCATTAACCACAATACCTGCAGTCAAAATGCAAACAAAAAACATACTATGATAATATATGCATTGTCCTTGAAACTGATTGGTCCACACCAAGGGACGGCTTTCTTTTGAGCCTCGACCCAATTGGTGCTCGACCAGATGACGCCAAAAAGTGGAAAACCCCAATTATTATATTTTGGTACTGGCAAAGGAGGTCTAATGAAGGATATGTCAGTGTCACTAACCTCCAAAACATTTTAATGTTCAATGTACAAAAATAATTACACTATTGAACTGAGCAAATAATATGGGACAATGAGAGTAAGGAGAGCGAGGGGCTGGATGGATGAGAGATTAATATGGGGGGGGGGTGTAAGGACGTGCGCTGTGTGGTAAGGTAAAGCAAGCAACGCGTGGGGTGTCGGGAAGGGAAGACTGGGGGAGAGGATGCGACTCTATCCAGTCAAATCAGGATACTGCCTACACCAAGAAGAAATAATAAGGGCCATTGGCCCAAACGTCCACAATGAGGATTTACTCTTTTGGGCAGTGCTACTGATGAATGTCATTATGGGTGTTTGCGCACCACGATTGACGAAACCGGTCGAAGCGTACGTCTTGTTTTATCTCTGCATCACTGCTGCCTTTCAGTCCGGTCACATTTCCTCATAAGTGTTTTGATGGAGATTTTTGACAAGAGGGGCAACAATGCACTGCGCCTCAGGAACTGCTGAAGGGGTTTTGCATAACATGTACACGCAAAGTCCGAGTGCTTTTTTGCACGCTTTGTGCGTTGTTGGAAGCCATTGCCAACGCTGCATCACGAATAGTTGCATAAAGGATCCGATTTGATGGTGGAACGGAGGAATAAACGTGGCATAAAACAACACACACAATGGCGCGTATAATGAAGTACGTACACCACAAACACGTGCATTAAAAAAACCCACAGACAACGCTGCAATATTGATGCACAATCGCTTACAGGAGCAGCGACATTCCTGTACAGTAACTGCAGTTTAATTTGCCAAGCGCACGTCTGTACGCGTCACTGCCACCTCCACGTGCAACGCAGGCGAGTCTGGCGGAGGGACGTGTCCACGGTACCTCGGCGGGGAGCGCCTTCCCCCTCGTCTTCCTCCTCGCTCGCTTCTCGTCGGCTTTCCGTTCGGCGTCGGGGTTAAGAGTCCTCTTCTTCTTCCTCGTCACCTCGCCGACGTCCGTCGCTTTCGCGCGCTTCCCCTTGGCCATGGTGGCCGCGCGGCTCGAGCGATGCGGGAGGAGGGGGGGGCGTAGTTTTTTAGGTTTGCGAGTCTTTACGCGGCGCCTGTTGCTGTTGGTTGCACAGCGCGAGACGACGGCGAGAGGCGGTTAGGCGAAGACGCTCGCTTTGCGGCTCGCTTGCGGCTCGCTCTTGCAATGGAAAAGCAGCGGCGGCGGCGACAACAACAAAAAAAACAGCAGCCACGTGCGGGCAACCCACGTGCGGCGCGCGACCCGGAAGCAGCGAGCCGGGTGTCCCCGCGCATGCGCACTGTGGACTGTGTGGGGCCGCGCGACGTCACGGGGTTTGCGTGCCACTGGAGGGCGAAATCCGAGGAGCGGCGAAGCTCTTCGTCGCGGACGTTCCCCGGCATGCCGGGGGGCGCGCTCCCAGGACGTCGCAACGACAAACAAGCAATGGCAAAAGAAGGAGAAAGCACGCACGCACGATAGGAGTGCAGAGCGTAGGAAAGGTTAAGAAATCACTTACATATAAAACGATCATATTTGTTTTTAATCCTACCAAGTAACTCCCGGCACAGCTAGCTTAAACTAAAACAAAAAAATATCGATTTTATTTTTTAAAATCATTTTAAACTAAACTGTAAAAAAAGTTTTTATTTTACCAGCTCAGGCCGACTGAGCTATATAGCTCTATTCGGAAGCGACCTGGCCACAAATAACAGCTCAACAAAGTGGCTTATCACGTGGAGATTTATAGCAGCAAAATAATCCGAATAATATTTAACACCGGACGAGGAAAACGGAGAAGCTATAAAGCTCTTCGTTGCAGTCGGGACGCGTCAGAACGTTACAACAACGAACAATACAAAAAACAGGATATGACTGAAAAGTTTAGGAAAGGTTAACAAATCATGAGAATAGGTTTTTCCCCTTTTTTCTGGCAACAAAACAGGTGTTGAGATGTTAAAACACCAAACTGAAACCTTTTACAAGGAATCATGTTTGCTTTAACCACAATACTTGTGGTCAGAATGCAAACAAAAACATACTTTGATAATATGATGCATTGTCTTTGAAACTGATTGGTCCACACCAGAGACAGCTTTCTTTTGACCCTATTCTCATGCGGTGTTAGCCCAGATGACGCTAAAAGGTGAAATTGCAGTTAGAGTTCAGTTAAGCCTGGAGAACACAGGGAGCGGCTGGTTTGTGAGAGCTCTACATAAAGTTATAGAATATTAGAAAGTATGAGCGTGAAAGTCAACACGTTACCGATTGTTCCAATTGGGAGCAGTATATTCTATTAAATTGTGTTACCCATTTCGTTTAAAACATACACGATCGTCAGTCTTCTCTTGCCGTTTATATAGTAAAATTTAGGAGCATCCAAGGAACAGCACCAAAGCCTGGCGCCAAAGCTCAATGAGCTGAGGCTATGTGGGCTCAGCTCATTCCACTTGCACACTCGATGTCTCCATCCTTTGCAGCCAGAGAGTGGCGTTCAGGAAACAACTACTACTGTACAGTATATTAACATACACAAAAATTCACGTACCATCACTGAGGATTATGTTTAACAGGCCTGACCGCCAAGCCTCAGAAAATTAAAACCAGTTTAGTTCGGCTGCTTAAATCAGTCTAACTGCTTGGATTGAAATTTGCATGCTTAAATCATAGTCTGCCTGCTGAAATCAAAGTTTGCCCGGTTGTCACAATTAGCTTGCTTAAATCAAAGTCTGGCTGATTAAATTGAATTTACCTACAGAAATCAAAGTTTACCTCCTATAGTCAAAGTTTTGCATGATGAAATCAAATCTGAATGTTTGAACTGGAGTTTTGCTGCTTACATACATTTTATTGGAATACATTGGTACAGAAGACCCATTGATGAACTAAAATGTTGCAATTTTATACGTATAGCATACTTACGTTTATTATTCTCTTGCAGTTTTAAAATTTAGCATGCATACTAATTATCATTAACTTTTATGTTAAAATCAATATTTCTAATTTCCTGCCTTATATTTTGTACACAAGATGGCTGGGAAATTAACCTACGCAAGTTACGTTATGGTGCAGGCATTGCATTTCACATTTATTCTGTGACACCACAGCCGATTCCACATACAACCCGGCTTTAAGCGTGGGTCAGTTTGAGAATGGAGTCCAAATGCCCAATTCTGCAACTCCATGGCATCGATTTGACAAGGCTGGACTTTCATGGGAACATATTGTTGGGCCTGGCACATAGTCACATGGATTCCACTGGCCATGGAAATCCATGTTAAACATAGAAATAAGGGGTTTTTTTCGAACGTAGATCAATATCATGCAGAAACTGTGTTTTTAAGCCAACCGAACTTCAAAATTAAATTGTAAAAACAGATCACTTCGTAAAGTATCATTCATCTCACAACAGTGTGTAACCGTGAGAACCTGGTCTAATCTAAATATAGGACCAGTCAGATTAAAAAGACATCTGGCCATATGAGTTCTCATGCATTGGAATGTTGTATAGCTTTCCAGAGGCCCTCAACACCCCCTTAAGGGTTCTGTAAACAAATAATTCAATTTTGCAACGAAAAATTCGAGCATGTAAGTCCAACATCATGCAAAAAAAAATTTACAATTTGGGTTTGCAGATAATTTAGATTTATATTTCTCTTCAATCAGAATGGAGTACGTTCATTCCCAGTTGGTGAGCGAAGCAGGCCATCATTATTTTTGTTGTTGATACTGAGTGGCATTTTGTGGAAAATCTTATGGAGACTAGCCACTGTCATATATAGGTGGAATTTCCATCTACGGCTTAGGATCACCAATAGACGTTGACCACAAAAAGCTCATTTGAGTATGGAGAAAATTTGACAAAAATTGCTTTACTGCAGTGAATCCGATGTTACAATTTTAATAACAATAGTTGACTGACCACAACATTACACAGTTTATTTAACTTGACTGAATTTCAATGCAAAGTAAGTGTTTCAAATCAAATTATTGTTAGTATTCATTTAACCCTCATTCTAAGTCTGAATCCTATGCTAGTCAGAATTATCTCAAGCATTTGAATACATCTTAACACATCTTAACACATTTTATTGTCAGATGGCGTAAATCCTATCCTTATGTTTCATACTTTGAAACTGACAAAAAAAGGTCCCCAATTATCATCAACGCCCGAGATTTTTCACTTCACCCTCGACCCCGCCCACCCATGGTCGGCCCCCGCCCACCCATGGTCGGCCCCCGCCCACCCATGGTCGGCCCCGCCCACACATGGTCGGCCCCCGCCCATCCACGATCATCTCCGCTCCCTCTCACCATTAGCCCCGCCCCCCCCCCCGATATTTAGCTCCGCCCCTCCCCACAACGTCGCCTCAACGTCACGTGGTGCCTCCACGACGACGCGCGATTGGCCGCACTCCGTACCCCACGTGGTGGTGGTGGTGGTTGTTGCGGCGGCGGCAATGGCAGTGGTGGCAGTAGTGGCGGCGCATGCGAGGTGCGAAATGTAAACACGGCGCCTTGGCGGACAAAAGACAGCAGCAGCGGTGGTTGGTGGCCTCGGTGAAGACGACTGCGGCGGACAGGCGGCTGCGGAAACAGCGAACGCGGCAGAATCTCGGCGACGTCCCCCGCGGTAAGCGAACCGCGCCGTCGCCGCGGATTTGGCTGTATTACGTGAGGTGGTGGGAGGTTGCGTGAGGGGAGGTTATGATGAGGGGTTGTTATGGGGGGGTCGTGAGGGGAGGTTATGATGAGGGGGGCGGTTGAGAGGAGGTGGTCGTGAGGCGCGGGGGGGGTCGTGAGGTTATGATGAGGTGTGGGGGGCCGCGAGGGCCTAGGGCGTCCAGGCCTCGCGGTGACGTCATCGTCGCGAGGCGATTCCCCGGGCGGGCGGTTCGGGGTCTCCCGTGGAGAGTGTCCCGCGAGAGGTCGCGCTGTGTATATAAATACACACACACGCACACGCGGTTGTTTATATCGCATAGAGGCACAACAAACGCGTGATTAAACCCAACATTAACGCAACACGTAAGAGTGGTCTGAGCAAAAAAAATGCCACGATTTATCGAAAGAATTGATCCCCGGGTTGATGCGCTCGACTTGTAGATTCTAACCACGAGCGAGACTTCGCTTTTTTATATACAGTACGGTGTATGGGCAGGGGTGGGGGAGAGGCCAAACATCCCGCGACTTAACCAGGCAGGCGGGTCGCCCACGTACGTAGAATGTACGTGAGCGATAAGGTTTATGTCTAGACATGCGGAACCGGGGCGTTGGTGTCGATACCTGTGCCGACACGGTCGAGACGCGGAGCTCGGCGTTACACAAGTTTGAGGTCTACATTGATTATTTCCTTTTTTTAAAGTCTCTGATGGTGGCGAGACGTGCGTTATACAATACTGTATTTCATAGGTTGGGAACCATTCACCATTCCAAGAGTTGATATTCACTGTTCAGTGTAAGTTATATTTTAAAAATATATATTCTTCATTATGTTTTGCGGTATTATTTTTGCCCAGCCGGGTGTGTGTCTCAACGAACCTTGCCTTTAGCGTAGAACATATTTGCCTTTAGCGTAGAACATATTTAATCGACGAATCGTGTCGCGCCCAACGGATTAGCCCGAACTTCGCCGCAGCTCTTTTACTTAAGTCACCCACAGTGCTCACGGTAGGCACCGCTGTGTGGTGGATTCTTCTCCACGCAAACCAACGTGGGTGAACGACGGAAGGCATCGGACTCGTGATCGCGAGTCGTGAATCCAGCCAAGAGTTGCGTGGATGGGGAGTGGGGCGCTGAGTCGTCACATTCTCCCGCATCGCTGTTAATTGCACCGAAGGGGCCCTTGAAGGTGTGGCGACCCCGGCCCGTGGACGTTGGCCCCGGCTTGGGCTGTGAAGAGGCAGTGGGGGGGAGGAGGAACACCGGGGCCTGAACGACCGAATACCCCGTGGGACGGGTGGCAGCGACACAGGCCGCGTGTATTCGAAAGTGCACTGTTACGTGCAGTGCGAGGCGGAGTGAAGAGATAGCAGATGCAGTAATTAAATGGTGAGCAGAGAGAGAGAGGGTGGGTTGAGGTGTGAAGGCGGGAGTGAGAGCAGTTGTGGAGGTGGAGAGGTAGGAAGCGGCGTAAAATGGTGTTGCAGCGACGAAATATAAGGTGGATATTAATTTAACATAATAGGTTTTTCCCCTTTTAACAAAACAGGTGTTAGATTGTTAAAACACCAAACTGAAATCTTTTACAAGGAATCATGTCTGCATTAACCACAATGCTTGTGGTCAGAATGCAAACAAAAAACATACTCTGATAGTATACGCAATGTCCTTGAAACTGGTCCACACCAGAGACAGCTTTCTTTTGAGCCTCGTCTCAAACGGTGTTATTAATTTAATAGCTCACGTAAGTTGAAAATCCAGCTTATGGCTTCAGATACATTGAATACCACGTGCCCCTTGGAGAAGGCTCGCAGTAGACACGAGGTCACGATGTGTTTCACTTTTGCCCAACATTTACCATTTTGGACGATTCGCTTATTTTACACGCGTGGAAAAGGTGTTTGCACCTGCCGTGGCTATGTTCGGATATAGTTGTGTTCGGACAAAGCTACGTTCGGATAAGTTTGCTGATTGCTCTCAAGATGTGGAGTTAGGAAAGTGGCAATGAGGAGGGGAGGATAGAAGACATGATGATTGAATGTAGAGAACCAGGGCAATTAAAATAGAGAGAACCGGGGGAAAGATGAGTTGTGTGTGGGAGTGAGGAGAGAGGCAGTGACGAGATGAGTTTGAGGAGAAATGATAAGAGTGGGAAAAGGGTGTTGAGAAGAGAGGGCATTAAAAGTAATGACAGGGGGATTGAATAACGAGAATAAATATATTAACGTTGTGTGGGAGCGATGAGTGAGGGCAGAGTGAATAAGTATAACAGTTACAGTCATGTGTGTTAATGCGATGTTGGAGACAGTGGGAGTCGCTTGAGATCTATGAGGAGAGTGAGTGTTGAGGGGAATAAGTAAAGGGGGTAAGGGGAGGATAAATGAGGAGAGGGTAGGAGAGGAGGAATGAGGGCTGTGTGTGTTCTGCCACCATGAATGCTTTTCCGCAGCCGTGGCAACTCTACACGCGGCACACCCGCCCAAAAAGACGTGTTTGAGCAAAACACCCACCCAGGTGCCGGTTGTAACTTAATGCCTGCCGGTTGTGTACACTATGTGCTTGTCTAACTAACTATTCAAAAGTTTTATGTTGACTTTGCTTACATTGTGATGCGACTTAAGTGTTTAACAATTTCCTTGTTGGTGCTCTGTGTTTTTTTTTGCAGTAAGCCACCTCACCGAGTGACCATTTAAAAAGCAAATAAAAATGTCACTGTACAACTTTCTTCTGGAGCCCATAACTTGTCACGCGTGGAACAGCGACCGCACACGTAAGCACAAGCTTAAGATTCTGGCCTCAAATTCACTTGGGAGAGTTAGCAACTTTTGCATTCCGAAAGTTCTCATCACTTGTAAGCTAAGTAGAAGGCTGCCCGAGGTCAACACCGAGTAACTATTGTGTTGTTTTTTTACTTCAGGATTTATGTTGAAGGTCATGCAAAGGAAAACAAACTATCCTGATGCCAAATACTATACATAGTCTCTGGCGTCGTGACATTTGCATCCAGCTCGGCACGGGAATGACAACTATTTTCTTTCATGCTTAGCGGTGAATGTGACATTGAGGAAGCACATGTCTGCTATGCCGTAAACCCATCAAAGTGTTTTTTTTTTACTTTTGTATAATGCTGTCAAGTGGGTCTATACGAATAATTATTCTACATTATATTTAATCTAAAAGTTACAACGTTTGATTACTTACATTTATAATCAAAATCAAACCGTTTTTTTTTAATATAGCTTTAATATAAATCCTTTATCTGACAATTACTCGCTTTGAGATTTAAACTCTCCACTTAATTGATTGCTTAAAATAATTAGAAAAGCACATACATTGCTATTCATATGATGACAGTGTGCCTTAATTGCATTGCAATGATTATCTTAAATGTCGAGTGTTTTGAAGATAATGATACCAATTCTGTGATTTACCCTGTAGAGATCGCCATCAGCCCAAATAATCACGAGGTTCACATTTATCAGAGGAATGGGAGCCAGTGGAGTAAAGTGCATGAATTGAAGGAGCATAATGGTCACATCACTGGTAAGTATTACTTGACCTGTCAGCCTTACATTTTTCTCTTCCTGCCCCTTGTATCTTGTAATATGCTGCACTTTCTGTGTCCTTGTGAACCAAACCACCTCTACTTCAAGGTGTTGTCCAGATACTTTGTCGTCTCGCTTTCTCGATCTCTTGCCCTAGATCTCACTAGTGATGCACAGCATTTTCCGAAAGATGTTGCCTTATCGCTAACTTCTATAAGATCAATACTCTGCATTGCTCTTTGTAATAATTAATTTGTCAATCTTTCAACCGAGCTTCCTTTGACCATTCTTAGTTGACCCACATCTCCTGTTCGATTCCTACACCAATTAGGTTTCACAGCGCACAGTTTTTCAACAGTAACCTTTTAAAATTCTGTCCTCATTTGGTTGAGTGTAAAGATACGATGAATGGAGATTTACTTGTATTGTGGTTCATAATTAGTTTAATACATTTCATTTAAATAAGGAGCCTTCAGAGGATGCCTACAATATATAGTTTTCTCTTCCGCTTTTTATATTTAAACTATGTAGTTGAAACTTTGTGCTGTGAATATATGCTGCAATATTAATTTTCAATGAAAGAACTAAACAAAATGTACTTTGACTATGTTAAAAGTGAGTCAGACATGTAAGTTAAGTTATTTGCATACTTAGTCATCAAAATGATTCATTCAAACGTGATTAATTCAAACAAATTCCAAAACATGTATTGTCTTGTCCCAATGTTGTGCGTATGTGTGCTAGTATGCATGTACTATTCTGTGGTGGGAAAGTACATTTTCAGTACCCCTGGCTGTTCTTAACTCCATAGCAGTCCAAGTAAAACACATTTATATTTGGAGTTGCATGGCATCTTAGCATGTCTGGGGAGACCATAAGCAGTAATTTTTTTTAACCTCAGAAAATAAACAAACCTTGGTTTAGAAAATTGTCATGTTTTAACAATAATAATTCACATCTGTCAATCCACTGCTGGATCAAGGCCTTGCCACACCATGCCAGTCATGGGGGTCATTCTGTTGTAAAATGTTGTTTAATTTATCGTTTAAAAGGCATCGACTGGGCATCACGGAGCAATCGCATTGTAACTTGTGGTTCCGACCGCAATGCGTACGTGTGGACGCTCAAAGAGGGCGTTTGGAAACCAACACTGGTCATCCTCCGTATTAACCGAGCCGCCACTTGCGTGAAGTGGTCACCGCGGGAAAACAAATTTGCTGTTGGCAGTGGCGCGAGACTCATCTCTGTGTGTTACTTCGAGCAGGAGAATGACTGGTGAGGAATTGGTGCATCTTCAGTTGCATTTGCCTCAGGTTTTTTCATAAGGCAAAGTGTTGTACTTTTAGGAACACTTATCACACACTAGTGTCCAGGTCTTCAGGTTGTTTTTTTGTGTAGTTTATGACATTAATGGTACCTTTGTTTACAGCCCATTGTCAATCCACTGATGGGTGAAGGTCTCTCTATACCGTGTCAGTCAGGTGGTTGTTTGACCATACTTCACTAAACTTGACAGTGCTGGATGGTAAAGTGGGAGGGAGAGGGCCCAGGACTGCTTCAACGATCACGATCGTTTGATGTTAGCCATGGCCAGATATTGAACTTCTATTTCATTTGTTTATCGCACAGTGGACTAACCATTGGTCGAACAAGTTTGAATTCCAGCAATGGCTAACATCAGTGGCAAGTCATGTGTGAACCGGGTTTTTCTTGTTCCGTTAAAACTGTAATAACCATTGCGGTGTAATATGGTCAAACAAACCCTGTACAGATACAGTTGAGGAAGCTTTCATACAGCAGGTGGTTTGGCAAAATGCAGAACATTTACTATAATAATTTATAATATATGGAATGTTTTGGCTATAGAAAACATGTAAATCAGGACCTTAATCATTGCGATTTCACTTTTAAATACAACGGATTATATTAAATGACATAAATACTGTAATATCAGTGTTCTTTACATCCAGACAGTATCTACTGAGTGGCCCAAACGTTGACAAAAGATTATATAAATTTTAATAAATCACGGTTATTTCATTTATTTTAACAAATGTTTAAACTTATTGCGTGCATGAATTCTCTTTTGAAATAAATTTAGGACTTAATTATTTACAGCTGCCCTAATACACCAATACTCATTCATCTTCAGCACTCGTTCATTTTCAGTTAATGTTCTTTATATATTTTAATATCGGAAAAAGTAGAAGATAAATATATATTTATGATAATAGACGACATTAACTCCAAGAATAAGCAATAAAATGTTTTAATGCCAGTGTTAAAATGAATGAAATAACCTTGTGTCCTGACTTTTGGGCCACCCTGTATATCCAAATTACACATCGAATGTAAAATGTACAAACATTACTCTTTCTGCTTTTCAGTTAGTATTTATTTAGAAGTTTTTAGTTGCCATGTCTTGCACACAGTAGTCAACAACATACAGAAATAGAGCACAAAATCCCTATTACTTTATGATGCTACATTGTCTTCTCCCCAGGAGACATCAGCACATGCTACATGCCTAATTCAATGTTGTATATTTTTAAGGTGGGTGAGCAAACACATAAAGAAGCCGATTCGATCGACAGTGCTGAGCCTTGACTGGCATCCCAATAATGTTTTGCTAGTGGCAGGCTCTTGTGACTTCAAATGCCGGTGAGTACTGAGTGACATTTTCAGAAAGTGATAATTGTAATGTGATCCTGTCCTCAGTTGCTCATTAATCCCTTTCATGTTGATTGTGCTAATGTAATTTTAAAAAGGTGTTTATGCTTTTTGAAGCCTGGATATCGCTTCAATTGCGGCGACATGCTCAAACATTTTGTCAAAAGGATATGGTGCTACGTATTGGGCAGTAGAGGGCAGTGCAGCAAGAGCCATTTTATTGTCTGCTTCCATGTCTATGATCCTCTACTTCACAAACCGTTACTGACCAGCATGGGGAAGTATGGTAAAATAACCCTTATGGCATGCATGGCATAGGGAGACCATCATCCATCAGTGCACTGACAAAAGGGCTGTACATGTTAAAGGTGGAACTAAACGCATTTAATTTTGGCTACACAAACAGCTGGAAATGTATTTTCATCGTGAATTCTGATATAGTTAAATGTTAAATGGGTTTATTCCCCTGACTGAAATAGGTTTATTTCATTTTGCAGCAAAATAAATGTGTGTACCTACTAAAATTAAATATAGATGTTTAGAAATATTATTACAGAACCATCTTGTTATTAGTTTGTCAAAAAAACTAAAAAAAATGTATTTTGTGTCAACAAAGCTACATTTCTCCGATATCGTGTTTTATCATTCATCACCAATAGCTTTGCTGTATAATGCCCTGTAGACTGGCCGTTGCCACTCAATATAATTATGCTGGAGTAAACCGCTTACTGCACACAATTATTTCAAGTTACTTATAGCCTGGCCCTTTTAAATTGAAGCATGCAACCCCCAGTGCATATATATTGGGAAAAGTTATAACAGTGAAAAGTATGGCCTTTCAGACCACAGAGCTATTGATCTCAGATTGCAGCTATCGCTTTACAGTGCATATATCACGACTTCTGCTACATAATTTAACCCTTGCAGCAATTGTGTTGCCTATAAAAGAGCAAAATTTATCCAGTGTCATATTCTCAATGGAGGGAGCACTTGAGCAATGGATTGCACCCTGCATGACAAACCTGATTACCCCAGTTAAATTCTTGGCCAAGGCTAACACAAATGATATAGAATGAACCAGTCTTGCCCACCAGTCTTCACAGTCACACTGACCAACCTAGTAAAATATAGTGAAACAACCCCATAGTGGATTGACAAAGGGCTGCAAATTATTATAGATTAATGTTTTTTTTCAGGAGCTTCACATCAACACTTTAAAGTTTAGATTTAAAACAAAGCTCGTCTTAGAGATACATTTTAGGCATTGGCATACCAGAATCAGATGTAATGCCATTCCGATTAAATATGTATATAACTCCATTGTTTGCCCATGCTACACTATACATTAAAACAGAATTACTGCAACAACTACAAACGAATACAAGACAATTTTAGTGGTACATGCAATGCATTAACAAAGATAATGTTATAGCTGCTATAAATGTGTCCTTAATGTCCATAATTGTTATCATTTTCTGATAAGGATCTATACATAACCTTTTGTCATAAACTCTTAAAGCAGCATAATTAAATAAATGCAGTGTGCATTGCTGTGTGCAGAGTCTACTCTTCATACATCAAGGAGGTTGAGGAGAAGCCTTCGCCTACACCTTGGGGGATCAAGATGCCTTTTGGTTCCATGATGGCGGAGTTTGGGGGAGGTGGAGGCTGGGTTCATGGCGTGTGCTTCTCAGGCTCTGGAAACAAAGTGGCCTGGGTTAGCCATGACAGCACCATCTCAATAGCCGACGCCACACGAAACATGGAGTAAGCGTGTACACCCTTCTTCCTGCTCAGCAGCTGGACTTCAAGTCCTTATGAAATGTGCCAAAGGTTTAACGTAGCCTAATCTTTGCCAAATGGTACACGAGATAATATTTTGCCACTTGCAGAACAAATGTTCTTGGTAATCTTTCCCCCCAAGAAAGTGAATAACAATATCCTTTATCCAGAAAAGCCTCACTGAATCTGAAGATGATCTTTCAGGAGGGTTTTCCATTGAGATGCTTGGTCAATTCAGTTTGAGTTATTGCCATCTGAGAGGAAACTGAAGTACCCAGAGAAAACCCAAGCATATGAGGGGGTTTTACACTCAAGGCTGCACACAGTCAGTCAATCCATTGCTGTACTGCGATCTCCCGTCCCCTTCACAATCCATACCTACAAAACTTGTCATTCCCAACCAATGAATCAAACCGTACCAACGAAGCACAATCCTGTTTTAACTTCAGAGATTCCAACACACTGTGCATTGTGGAGTCCTGAACTTTAAGAAATTCTCGAATTCATATCTGTGAAAATACACCCGTTACCATTTTGTAGAGGTGTTTTAAAACAATGTTTCTAGATGTGGCAGTGGTGGCTGTATTAACAATCCACTTTTTTAGAGTATGCAGCTTGTCAGGTTCACTGTTGTAAGTGAAAAATCACTGAAATGTGGTAAAAACAATTTTTCACAAATGTAAAAATCCCCTTCTGTATACATACATTAATTAGTTCCTTTTAATGTATAGAAGCTTAGTGGCAACAAATGTAAGTGGCAAATTGTCTTGTTATTAAACACTTATTTAATTGTTCATCAAAGTACTGCCATTATTGCTGATCGGATTGGCACATCGCTCAAAGTTGCCATGTGGATTCTTGCCATGTAGACCTCGTGTTCTTGATATACAGCAGCGGGGCTGTTCACTTCAGTGGCCATAGTTGGAATGACAATTTTTATTAGAGCTATAACTTATTTTGCTGACGCTTTATCAGCATGTACAGCCAAGGCATGTGGACATTTTAAAATAATGTTTTGAAGCAAATTCTGCATGTAGATTTATAGTTAATGGGTCGGTGTTCTATGAAATAAATTACATATATAAATTAAATGCACACCTGTCTTTTGCCAGCTTATTTATACGTTCTAAAATATACCGCATTACAGGGCTATTAAAAAAAGACCCATTGGCGTGCGGAAATTTTTACACCTTTATAATTTCAACTGTACGCATTCTGCTTTTCAACAAAGATGGTTTGCCGGTATTCATTTTCAAACCACCACAACCGCTTTGTACTTGTTCAGACTGTCAAATGTGCTGTGGATGAGGGTCTTCCCCACACTGGGGTGGTATGACCATACATGATGATGCTCGTCAGTGCAGTTTGAAGTAGGGGTTACAAGGATTTGTTCAGAATTCACTTGCCTCTTACGTTAGCCAGAAAATAAACTTACTTAGCCTGACTTGGATTATTGTATGATTGAATTCTTAATACAGTAGTACTTGTGCAAAATATATTCAATGACACATTTCTTGCGAAGGGTTCACCAAAGTGGACACTGGATTTCTGTATAGGCATCGTAGACATCCAGTGCCATAACTGTTCCCAATATAAGCAGTCACACTTCCGCAAACTCAAAGCTATATTTAGTTGTTTCTCCCTTGTCAATAAACATCCTAACATTTTTAAATGTATGTTTTTGCAATGATATATTATTTCATAACATGTTATAACCATTTGTTTCTCATGTAATCATGAATACTGTCAATCCATAGATGCCCATTGACCTAATATAAAAGTAATTAATATATGCTGCAGTCTTGTTGCCTTGTTTATTATTTGAACATTGTTATAAACAGTCATGATGGCATTCATGGAAATTTATTATCAGAAGAAACAAACTATAAATGCACATGCCGTGTGAGACAAGTAGCTGCACGAGTGAATGGATTATATACTTTGAGTGTTTAAACTGATACTTAATTGGCTTTGAACTGGTTATTAGAATAACCTCGAGAGGTAAAACTGACACTAAAAGCCACGTTATTTCTTTAGGTGGTATTCGATTGGACGATGGGTACAAATTTGGGGATTTTGAATACTTTTCTAATATCAGATTTATTCTATTTGCCAATTTCTAATAGCAAGTGTAGCAATGACAGCCATTTGTTGTGTTTGTCTTTATATACAATATGAATTTCAATTAAAGTTATTTAGCTCAGAATATGCCTGTGCTTGTTTCCACATGTATACAGAGTGTGTGGTTTAAATGTGTAATGTTTTTGTTAAAATCTTCCTAAACCTGCAGGTCTTCCCATCTGAAAACAGAATTTCTTCCACTGTTGAGCATCATTTTTGTCACAGAAAACAGCATTGTATCTGCGGTAGGTTTTTAAAATCCTTTACACCTTTGAATTTACCATAGGATTTAAAATATATTTTTCTATGTAGCTTTGGACTTATCATTACTGTATGCATACGTCTCTGATTACTGATTTGTTCTTCTGTATTAAATTTGCTTTGCTTGAACAATTTCTAGGATTGTTCTGAAAAATTATGCACTTTCGATCCCATAATGCAATATTACGGTTTATAACATCTCTGCTATGTGTGGAATCCCCTTCCACGGTCAACTTGGCTTAAAAAGATTGAAATTGAATGGTTCATTAAAATTGCCCATTTGTACCTATTACCAAAAATACTAGCATACGCTTTAAACTATTCAGCTGGTTAGTAGTAAGCACCGGTACTAAAGCTCTCTAGGTAAAGTATGTGACATGGGCAGTAATTTTTGATATTGGGAAACAACGGGCATCTGTCCCATTGCAGGGTCACGACTGCTGCCCTCTGCTGTTTGTGCATGACGACCGGGGAGTGCTGTCCTTCTCAAGCAAGCTGGACATCCCCAAGCAGAGTCTGCAACGCAACCTCTCAGCCATGGAGCGCTTCCGCAACATGGACAAGAGGGCGTCGGCGGAGCATCAGGACACCACGCTCCACACGCTACACCAAAACAGCATCACGTGAGGCTCCGCCCCTCCCTTGCCACACCATTGCGGGAACGTACATATGCCGAGATGCCCACCCTAAGGCATGCAGAGTTGGTGCCTCCTGGGGGGCAGTATATCAAGTAGGTTGCTGGCCTACTTGTATGGAGTTTTGAGTGTCATACCCTCGTGTTTTGGTTTTCTCCAGTCTTGCTCATTATGACATGTGTAGTAGTCACTTCAGAGACACTAATAGTAGGAGGCACACATGTTTATTCTACACTTCCACAGTAGAGGGGATAACTACACACTGGTCAGGGGGGCTGGCACACTGCCTGACCCACAACGCCGAGGAGGTGAAGACGGGAACGAAGACTTGCGTAGACGACGGGTTCCATTCCAAACGACAGCCCCGACCCAGCGTCGGGACCTCCCTTTTATCCTCCCCAGCGTGGCCTGGCTCCGCCCTTGGCCACGCTTCTTTCTGGAACCTACCAGAAGGTTCTGGGCTTCTCCCCACGTGTCCCTTCTGTCACCTTTACCCTACATCCCTTACCCCGGCCCATCACGTGCCCTGCTGGCAGGACCGGCTGCTGTGTCCTCAAATCCCCCCTCTCTGCCAGCAACCGGCGCAATGCGCTCCAGTGGCACATTTCGCCTGCCCTGCTGGTAGACCGGGCTACTACACCCACAATCCCGCTCTCTACCAGTAACCAGCGCTACGCGCCCTTGTGACCTATTCTATGTCACCACACATGTAAAAAAATACGCTAAGGTCTCGACATTCGCGAGGGTGAGGTTTTTTAAAATCTGTGCGAAAGTTCAATTCGCGAATTTGTGTATTATGTTTATCTTTTATAAAAGCCTGGTGTTCCGTTTGTCCATCAACTAAATTATGAAAGCCTTTCAGAAGGCCTGAATCAAAAAGTTATAGGAAGTGGACCCCCCCACCAGATGTGCGTGTAAAATGTTGACCCAACAGGTTTCCAAAAATTGTCAGCCCCCACATAACATTTCACCACAGGAGCTAGAATAAGGTGGCCACAGGCCCGCTGGAAAAAAGGGAATTAGGTTCCTGTGTTCGTCTGAACACATGGGATAAAAATTATGTTTCACAGCATTCATCCTGCAGTGCACGCATAATGACATCCATGGCCTTAGTTAAATTGTACAATATTACAAATTGATAAATAATACAAAACACATCAATATTATCGTATGCATTTGGAAGGTTTATTTACCTTCGATGGGAGTGTGATGCTGATACTACTGTACTTTGGTAGTTATAAATGCACTTGGCACCACATTTTCCTTAATTGCCTTCTCATGTTTCTTTATATATTTGTCTGTTAACTCGTTTAGCATGTTATGGCAGCCAACAGCAGACGCATGATCACCACAAGCAAGTTGTTTGCCCAACATAACATTTACCACACGTGCAGACGAATGATCAGCACGAGACTAAAATAATATCAGAGAAATATTAAATTCTCCAAAATACAACTGTCAGCAGTAGCAGAACGCGCATGCCAACAAGGACACTCGATTGATTTTAATAATGTTGAAGTTCTGTGCAAAACTAGCTATTACTGGCCAAGACTAATTAGAGAATCTTTCGAAATTGAAATAAATATAAATAACTTTAACCGTTCGGATAGCTACCGCCTTAGTGCTGCGTGGGAGCGAATCATCAAATAATACATTATTTAAATGCACTGCTTACAAAGGGCAGCATACTTCAATCGGGATTACCGTTGATACGGCTATTTTAATACACACAATAGACAGGAAGGAGAAGGTCAAAGGGCTCGCATAATGTACGTTGCCTCTGTAATCCCCCCCCCCCAAGTGGCGCAGAAGCGTAGTCACCACATCTACGCCTCTATTAAAGGAACGAAACAGTAAGACTTCGCTACAAATCTGGCTGTCGCCTGATGAAGCTAGTTGTAATTACTGGCAAAACGTCGTACTCGGATTGTAAATGTTGTGGCTTTGCTCTCCAACACACCGGTGTGCTTACGAGTGACGAATTGGCATGTTCTGTTTTCGTGACAACCCTTACTAGTTGGCTGTGTCGGGTGGTGGCGGGTTTTAACGACACATTTATATATTTATGCGATCTAACCCAAAAAAACCTCTCCAATTTAATCCCATCATTTTTATTTTATGTTTAGTGCTCTTTATCCTTCCCTCCATTGGTCTACATTCCATTGTTAATTTTCCCATCTATCGTCTTATGTTATAGCGAGATTTCCTGCCCAACTAAATGTCATTTTCTTGGTTCTTTCGGTAAAGTCACGTAGAAGGGAAATAATAAAATTATCAAAATATAGCACTTAAATTCTCACAGCAAGAACATTTTCTTGCTGTGGTTTTACACCTGATGATGATTGCTTGTGTTGCAATCGAAACGTCGTGATAATTTTATTGTTTTATTTTTATTATTTTATTATTTCCCTTCTACGTGACTTTACCGAAAGAACCAAAGAAGATGAATCCTTGCAGTCACGAAAGCTTTAAATCGAAGCTTTAAGTTATGTTAGAAATGTGGCCTCTTGGCAAATAAATGGTTGCAAGGCAATAATAGGCACACAATGAATGGCTGAATTTAACCACATTGCATCATGACTTACAAACTTATTGCGGTGTCAAATATTTGTATTTCATTGACTCCAGTAAACTGTGGTGGATGCAGTGCAACTTTCAAAGCAGAACATTAGGTGAATTTTCAAGGTATTTATTTAAATTTTGGTATGGGGAACAAATTGCATAGTTTAACCCTGAAGCTTTAAATTAATTATCACGATATGAAACGAGCTAAATACCGTTCCATCTCACATGCAAACCTGTATTGTTCACACCAAGGGACAATTGTATGCCTCAATTAGCCATCACAATTACCTTTAAATGAAAGCTAATATGCACATTGACACAGCACACAACGGCTTACTCTGGGCAAATTATGCAATTACGTCTTTTACTCTTTTATTAGTAATACTATTGCTCAGGCTGGGGCCAAATTTAACATAGTCGCATTTATACGGTCTCTATTGAGATAGAATTTTTTAAAGGTTTTAATTTGGATTGTTCGTAAGCTAACAGCTACAACACTCAGAATAAAACGTTTATGGGAAAGACAGGGTTGCATTCCTGGGTCTGAAATGATCACCCCCTCTTTGTTAAACTAATTCTACATGATTCCCACCCTTGTTATTTTACTAAAAGATGCTGAGTCGCTCTCAATGTCTTGTGTGTGTGCACTCTTTGTTTTACAATACCACCTCAACACAAAACCCCCATCTCCATTACTCTTCCCTCACCGTGGCACTCACACCCAACGCTCACCCCGACACTAAATTCCCAGACCGACACTCGTCCCTAACACTGTCAATTGAACATTAGTGATTCGCCATCTAGGCATCCAATGATTGGATGGCTAGATTCATGCGGCAATGTGTGAACATTTGCGTTGTGCGTGTTGAGTGTTACATTATCACACAAAAAAACATACGTGGTAAATAAATAAATCATCCAACGGATGCAGCACTCTCACGACACTACTTTTCGACACGGAGATGAGACTCTTAGTGTCAACCCACGTGTAGCCAAAACATCGCCCCCGTGTTCCGGAAAACAAACCTCATTACGTAAACCGTGAATATCCGAAACACGCGTTTGATAAAGCCACATTGGGCAAGGTTTTCCTGTACATTTGTGTTTTAAACAATTCTGACGGGAGTCATTGCATCATAAATGTATATCAACACTACGATATTATAATCGAGGCATTTGGTATACCTGTCAGATTTTAGTTTTACTCATGCCAGATTCATCAGTGATTTATCAGTTGTCATGTATGCTTGCATCACACCTTAAAAACTATTTGCATTTGAATTCCTTATATATCACATTGATAGTACTTAATAGTGCATGTTGGAATCGTCTGTTATATGCCAATGCTGTTGTGTAGAGGATTTATAAGAGTCGTATCATACAGAGACCCTTTATCAATGGACATTTTACCATGACCGTCAAGCCTGGAAAAGGATCCCATCCTAGTTATTTTAAGGATAACGCATTTTCGTCTGTTCAGATTTCAAAGCAAAAAATCCTGGAAAAACATCTGCAAGCACTGCACTTTAATATATTATCTTTACGTGCTAGAATTCAGCATTTGTTTTCACAAATCAATGCTGGTGTGCAGTTTGCATTCAGCAGCTACTTGTGCTGGCGCGTTGCCTATTTCAAATGTGTTGTAGCTATTCACGTTGCTCTTACTTAGTAAGCCAATTAGTTTACAAATAGTCATCCTCCCCAAAATAATTGTGCCTCACTTTTGATATCTTTTTTGGCATTCCAGTCTATTATAACATTCGTTGGCATACAAAGTGATAACATACAAAACACATTATTTTCAATGTATATGGAAGTTGCTCGTGTGTACAATTGTCAATGTTTCTGTTTTGCAGACAGCTGTCTTTATACGAGGGAGACAAAAGTAGCTGTACAAAGTTCTGCACCACTGGCATGGATGGAGCCTTAGCAATATGGGATTTAAAGGTACATTATTAATCTCGTGGTACTCGAGTATTTCGTAAAACTAGTTAACCTGCTGCAAGATGACTGTCGTGAACAACACTCCAGAACTTTAAAAGACTATAGTGCAAGCAGGAGTTGTGGTGAACATGCAGGGGTGGGCTGGAAGGCGTTTTTATTATTCTATAAATTTTCCTGTTCCAGCGCAAGTAATTTAACTTAAGGTTTTTTTCTCGTATGTATCGTCATGCGCAGCTCAGTTTGTTATACCGTAGAATAAAATAAGATTGCATGCACTCCGCTCATTATGCATATTTTTGTTGCATTATTCATTAGGTTGTAAATGGTACATGCTGCTCACACGGTTACTTAAGGTGAAGGAAAAATACATATAGGTGTCATTTGGCAAATGTAATCAGTTTGAAATTATGTTTTCTTAATTGCATTTTTATCTTTTTTTTTAGTCACTGGAAGCAAGTGTTCAAGGCCTCCGCATCTACTGATTTCTCCTACTGTTTTGGGGTTTTATTTTTGAACCATCTTTGCAACAAGTTCCAATATATTGCTTGTGTATTTACTTCAGCACAGAAAAACTGAAGATGGACACTAAATAAAAAGTAATAAATACATAATTCGCAAAACTAAAGAAGCTACGTGAACATTAAGGATTCTGCATACTTAATGGACTGGGACTCACTGTGCTGCGACTAGCTGAAACACTAGACCTAAAGAACGGACATCACGCCATTTTTGCCTTGCATCCTCTCCAGCCATGGCGCATGAAGCAAGCACTTGTGTCCACCCTGTCCTTTGACCCTTCACCGCCCTATATTGAGGTGTATAACTGCAATTGGAATACCCATGTATGTATTACAAAACAATAAAATATGAAACTCAGTACCTGTTTATATATTTTTTCAACATTTCAACCCCACTGTTCCTTGGTAAAAGTGCAAGGTGGTATTTAATTTTATTACCTGGTTTATTAACTTGCCTAGTCTAGTGTTCTAAAGGTGTGCAGTACCCCTTTAATTGTTGCCAGTGAAAATCTGCGTAAATAGAACACAATTAAATGCTAATCGTCATCCTAGCGTGTTGTGATAGGTCGAGTGCATACGTCTCTAATGGCGACAAGATTAGCAAAACAGTAATTTTCTGTCAATGACAGCAGGCGTTTCCAAGAAGTGGGTTGTTTGTACCTTCGGGGATAACAAAATCGAAAACTATTTGCATACATTGGAAATCAGCTTTTTGGAAAACATGCCACATTTGAGCTTATTTGTTGAAATATACATTTTAATAAAATACACATTTAAAAATGCTTTGATAGAGTATTAGCCATATCAAAAAAATGCATGTAACATGACACAAAACTGCAGTTTAACCTGCGAAAAAACATGGCTTAATGTTTCAATCGAAGCAGATTTAACTTGATATGAACGAACAATCTCCAAGTACACATCTGATGAGAATAGTTTTGGCCAAAAAAGGATGCATGTCAGTACTGGAACTTGCATTGGCCGTATAATACCGTATACACATCCGGTTTATACAGTGACATGCTATTGTTATTTTTCCAACTTTTATGTGCAAAAAGGCAATGTAATACTGTATCTGCTTTTCTTGGATTCAGAACATTTTGGCAAGCATTGGCTGGTGGTATTGCAAGCACTCATTGCATTTTGGTGCCATTCAGACCATTCGGCGTAAATAAAGCGTGAATGATAGCGGCGCCTCACATGCAGCTCTCATGACCGCCGGATTTCTGGTTGCCAGTGGAGGCTGCCGAGTGGATGAGCACGCGGTCCCTTTTCTTCGTTATGGCCTTCTCTCGCTGCCTCCCTCCGCCTCCACAGCTGCACGGTCATGCGGTGCAGCACCGCAACTCCACCTGCTCTGCCCACATCATGATTCATTGTGAAATATCTAAACAGTTATGCTGCAAGCCCTGTAATTGCTCATGCCTCTGCTGGTGAAATGGCGTCCACTCAAGTGAGCGCAGGAGATCCTCGCAAAGAGGGTATTTTGTCCTCTTCATTCACACTGATTGTACGATAAAAGTTGTTTTTCTTTTACCAGGTAAAGCCCACTGAGCTATCTTCTTTGGTTATTTCGGTAAAGTCACGTAGAATGATAATAAAATAATAAATGTATAAAATAAAATCATAAAATTCTCACGACGTTTTGGCCACAACACAAGTGGCCTTCAGGTGAAAGGAACAGACCTGTCGGGACGACAGAGCTTCAAAGCTTCAAAGCTCTGTCGTCCCGACAGGTCTGTTCCTTTCACCTGAAGAAGGCCACTTGTGTTGTGGCCGAAACGTGAGAATTTTATTGTGTTATTTTATTAATTTATTATTTTATTCTCATTCTACGTGACTTTGCCGAAAGAACCAAAGAAGATTAATCCTTGCAGTCACGAAAGCTTTAAATCGAAACCCACTGAGCTATTTATCTCTTTTTCAGAAGCGACGTGGCCACAAATGATAGCTCATTGAAGTGGCTTACGTGAAAATTTATCGCAGCCAAATACTCATAATTACATGCTTCTAAATGTGGAGGGAAAACGAGAGGGCCCAGAGAAAAATCCACGTGACCACGAGAAGAGAAATGCAAACTCAATTTCCAGGCGTCGGGGTCTGTATCGAACCTACGACCTGTATACCACGCAAGGGAGTTAACATCTCGCCACCGTGGTACCCCTACGTCTTTTGGAAGAGGTGACAGTGCCCACACTGTTTTTGCACACGTGACCAAACGGAATGTGAAATCTGGTCGTGAAAAAATATGTACGCTATTTTAATTCTATTAGATCTGGATATGTAAACGCAAAGAAGGTGATGCTGTTAATTGTTAAAATAATTTGTGTCCTGTAGCACTTGGGCAATTAAAGCAACAGTGGAGGTGTTGACAATGAATGGTAATTATATAAAGCAATGACAAATATGCAAATAGGTTTTAGGTAAAGGGGCTCTTCCATAAATGACGTCAAAATGCACAACTTTAAATATAGACAACACGTTCTATTTAATTAAATATACTTTTTAATAAAGGTTTTCTCCTACAACATCAGTGTGCAGCGCCGCATTAAATACGCACTACAATGACAATAGTTTAAAGCGATTTGAAGCATGTTTTTTTTGTATGGGGGGGGGGGGGCAGAGCGTTGTGACGTCATATTTGAGGGGGGGGGGAGTTTGACTTTTTGTGACGAAGTGGGGGGGGGGTCAAAAATCGTCCAAAATCACGTGACGTCATTTATGGAGGGCCCCAAAGGGCTTGTGCAAACTTATATTCTCATTCTAACCCAGTAACTAGACATACATAGCAAGTCAGCAGTTTCATAAAGTACCTGCAAAGTACAGTACAGTATACAATAGCTGAAAATTGTTTGTGCACATGAGTTGATGGTGCCTATGTTAAAACGTGTACAACCTGTTTGAAAAACATCACTAAAATTTGTATTTTCAGGGATGGATTCATGTTGAAATATCAGACGAATGCCAAATCCATGAAGCATGAAAGAGAACATGCTGGTAAAATGTCAAATCAGAGTGATTTGCTGCTCTGTTTATAGCCAGCGGTGGAGATTCCACGTTCTTGTGGCAGGGGTCAGTAAAAATGATGGGTCTTTTTCAGGAATCACGCTAATTTTTTTTAAATATCCAAAATAGTGCAAACCGTGCTGTTTAATTGCCGTTAGCACTCCCACAAGAAAACATTTCCACAACTTCACACTTGCAAGCCTTGACTGCCTCAGAATTTACAAGATACCATGCTTCAATTATATTAAAACAAATCATGCCTCATTACATTTACCAACTGCTGAGCTGAAAAATAAGCACTCGTGCGTGTAAGGTGCCATTTTATCATTGTAAATATGCTCACTGACTATTATATTCAGAAACAGCTTGAAATTGCTCTCAAAAAGCAATTCGGGCAAAGATGTTTTTCACTCAACACTTCTGTTAACTCGTAGTTGTCTTCACACTTGGCAGTCCACTTTGAATGCCTCTATCCATTCCATGGCAAAGTACAACAACGTATAGCATGGTGGAGAGATGTTAACTACCTCGCCTGGTATACAGGTGGTCGTCGGTTCAGTCCCGACCCTGACGCATGTATATTTGGAGTTTGCATGTTCTCCCCGTGGTCGCGTGGATTTTTATCCGGGTCCTCCAGTTTTTCCATCCACATTTAGAAACATGCGTTTCGAGTATTTGACTGCTATATAGTTCCGCATGATAAGCCACTTCGTTGAGCTATCATATGTGGCCAGGTCGCTTCTGAAAGGCCAGGTCACTTCTATATAGCTCTTCATCCTTTCACAGAAAATACTTGTGCAAACTATTAAATCTACTTTTCTTATTTCTGGGTGGTATTGAGCTTCATCCTGGCCCAAATGTAAAGAACTCGTATAATTCTGTAGATTTTTCTGGCAGAAAAGGTATTGGTGTTCTACATGTCAACATCAGAGGGCTTGTGATTAAATTAAGTCAACTAAAACTAGAAGTGGCAAATCTTGACCCGGACATTTTTTTGCCTAACAGAAACATTTCTCACTCCTGCCTTCAATGACTTGCAGATTGCGATTGACAACTACAACCCTTTTCGGCTTGACCGAGGATCTAAAGGAGGTGGAATTGCCATCTATGTTCGTAACACTATTGCATGTTCACCAGCTCACTCCTTGTTTAAAAAATGTTGCTTTGAAGGCTTGGCTCTCAGAATAACTCTCCCAAATAATCAACATATTGGTAGTGTGCTGCTATACACCGCCTAGGGGGAAGGATGTTGAAGCTGCATCTGCATTGAGAGAGCTTTTTGTGGGCCTCCCTAAAGGTGAAATAGTTTTAGTGGGTGATCTAAATTGGAATTGGCTAAACCCGCTGGCCGTGGCCACAAATTTTACAGATGAATTTAACCTGTTTCAATGAATAAATGTTCCCACAAGACCCAACCTAAAAAATCCGGGACAGTCATCTCTGCTTGACGTCCTATTGACAAATGCCCCTCACAATTTCGCACTGACTGATGTTCTGGGTAATAACCTTAGTGATCACTCCTTCATTTTTGGGGTGAGATCATCAGCCAGACCCAAAGCCCCCCCTAAATTGGTTGAGAAGCACTCTATGAGATACTTCAGCACTCAGGCATTTACTAATGATGTGCTTCACTCAGATATTGACAAGGTCTGTGATATCCCAAATCTGACTACGGCTTGGGAGACCTTCAGGTACACGTTTCTCCAAATTCTTAACAAACATGCTCCGTTGGTTAGATTTAAAACTAAAGGCAACCGCCCACCATGGTTTGATCCTTTGATTACAAAGCTCATGAAAACTAGGGACAAGGCTTGGGCATGTGCTCAGAAAAGTAATTTGGTCAATGACTGGCTAGAATACAGGATTTTAAGGAATTTATGCGTCAAAAAAATCAGGCATGCAAAAAATGCCTACTTTTCCTCCACTGTCCTGGAATCACATGGAAATGCTAGGATTTTCTGGAAAACAATCAAATGTATCGAAAAGGCATCCAAAACAGATAATCTGCCCATTGAGCTTAACCGAATTGGGAAATATTTTTCAGATCCCAAAAAAATAGTTGACAATTTTAACCTTAATTTTTCTGAAGCTGGTAATCTTTTTGATAATGTATTGGAAGTCACCCCTGCTCATGCAAATTCCTACACCCCTGTACAAACATTAAACGAATTTAGTTTCCAGCCAATCCACGAAAGTAATGCTCTGAAACAACTGTCCTACCTCAAAGGGTCCTCCTCTACCGGAGCAGATAGTATTCCCGTCTTTGCTCTACTAACTGTTGGTCACCTAATATACAAACCTATAGCCCAGGGGTCGGGAACCTATGGCTCGCGAGCCAGATGTGGCTCTTTTGATGATTGCATATGGCTCGCAGATAAAACAAAATATTCTCACTTGTTTTAATCCATCCATCGATTTTTCACTGCGCATGTCCTGTTCAGGGCTGCAGGAGCAATTGTCCATTATTTTAATTGGATGATACTGGCCTACGTTTGCCGTTGCTGGGTAAAACAGGTAAACGCCCCCTTTTGAATCAGTCTGAGACCGCGTCTGCTCGGTCATTAGCTCAAAGCTAACCCTTCGACGAAGAAGATGGCGAAAAGAAAAAAAGACGACGAGTATCGTACATTTCAGGACGAATGGACCGAAGAATTCGCCTTTGTGGAGAGAGCGGGTTCTGCGGTGTGTCTAATTTGCAATGACAAAATTACATCGTTGAAACGGTCGAATGTAAAGCGGCACTTCGACACGCGCCACGCTACCTTTGCATCAAAATACCCTGCGGGAGACAGCAGAAAGAAAGCGTGCCAAGAGCTTCTGAGCAGGGTGCAAGCTAGCCAGCAGCAACTCCGCGTATGGACCCGGCAAGGTGACTATAATTCGGCTAGCTTTGCTGGTTCTTTAGCAATAGTGAGGAACGGAAAACCATTCACAGATGGCGAGTATGCTAAAACGTTCATGCTGGATGTAGCCAATGAACTTTTTGATGATCTTCCGAACAAAGACAAGATAATCAAACGGATACAAGACATGCCTCTGTCGGCAAGAACTGTTCATGATCGTACCATCGTGATGGCAAACAAAGTGGAGGAAACGCAAGTGAAGGACATAAATGCAGCGCCGTTCTTTTCTCTGGCTTTGGATGAGTCAACAGACGTGAGCCATTTGTCGCAGTTCAGCGTGATTGCAAGATATGCTGTTGGTGACACACTGCGCGAAGAAAGTCTTGCTGTTCTGCCATTAAAAGGGTCCACAAGAGGTGAGGATGTATTCAAGTCTTTCATGGAGTTTGCTCAAGAAAAAAGTCTACCTATGGATAAACTTCTCTCAGTGTGTACTGATGGTGCTCCG